ATGACCTCATTCCACTTCTCGTTCCACAGCGACTCATTCGAGCCGTTCTCGTCATTGACCGCGAGCGTTGTGGCCGGGGACTGCATGAGTCTTGCAAACTCTGCCGAGACTTCCAGGCGACCTTTAAAAGCCCCCCCTTGCTCCTCGTAAAACAAGCGAGCAAAGGCGGTGTGGTCGGGATTAAAATCCGGCGAGTCCGTTGGAGCCATCACGGTCAAAGACTTCCAGAGGATTATCAAGCGCTGTCCTTGATAATCCGCATGGGCGTTGATCACTGCGATCACTACGCGCAGCGGGGCTTCAAGCTTACGCTGCCACTGGGGCGCACAAGGGGAAACACGTATGTGTTTCCCCGCGCGCGGTGTGGTCGAGTCCAGATACAGAGGGGTTCCTGACTGCCCTCCGTATCTGGACAAAAAGGCAGACCGAAGGTCCCATGCTTTGAACGTGACCATGGTCATTGCCGAAAAGAAACCATGCGACTGCGGGACCGTGGTCGGATCAACTTGCAAAACATTGAACCACATCTCCGGCTCCGCGGCGGTGTGGTCTTCCCCTTCTCGCATGATCCCACGGTTCTTCAGAAAAGCACGGGCCTCTGGCAGCTGTGCTAACATCCATCCCAACATGTAGTGGCGTTGTGATGGCTGCAGGTCTGTTGGCCATCCTGTCGTCACCAACATAAGACCACTGGCATGCTTTTGCTGCATGCGGTTTTCCCTGGCCATGAAGTTCAGCTCAGCTCTGGTTGCGAAGAGCTGATCGTTCATGTACCGCAGGGCCCCTTCCAGCTGCAGCACCATGCCGTACATTTCCGGCCTCACCACCGCCTCGTGGTAACCACGCACCAGCTGTAACACTTCGCGTGCCGTGCCCACGCGCTGCTGTAAAAATCCTTCCACCGCTTGCGGATTGTTGCAATCAACACCCAAGTGCGAAGCGACTGCTTGCATGGCGGTGTGGTCCTGCAGCGTCACCGGAACCACCAACGGCGGATTGTCAGAGGAACGCGCTGCTTCTTCACGATCCGTCGCGCCCTCTTGCGGTGTGGTAAGTCCAGAGGCCACTGGCGTAGGAGGTCCACGCTTCTGCCTGCCATAGGTGTCGAAAAACAAGCGCTGTGTGGCCATAGACTGCGTGGTGATCCCCGTCTCGTTGTACTGCGTCCTCAGACGGTTCAGTTCCTCCAGTGAGGACTGATGCCCACTTGGTGCCGACATTGCTTCAAGCGGGCGGTGTGGTCAAAATGACCTTGTGAAACTTCCGTGCTGTCGTGCTACGTGCAAGCTGGCAGCCGAGACGCCTATGTAGAGAGCTTAGGGCTATGGGATTTAGGGTTTGGGGTTTAGGATATAGGGTTTTAGGCTTCGAGCTTAGGGTTTAGGGTTAGGGGGTTTTCAATTGTTGTACCGGTTGGCGCTAGCACTTCGGTCTTGCACCACTTGCGGCGCTCGCTCTGACCATACGCCTTCAACGCCTTGCTCAAAAAAACAGCGCCTACGATGAGATTTACCATAAGGGATGCCACAAGGGTTTTTATTCTAGTTGCTATCAGGTTAGCATTGAGGGATACTATAAGCCAATGCCTCAAGGTCCCCATTACTCAAAGCACGGAGCCCTGATGCGATCTACAGCTTCCCCCTCCCCGATTCGCAGGAGGGTCCCAGCTCCAAAACTTACCGTATACCAACCCTTATATACTTAAATACCCTCAAAAGTAACCCGCACAGCAACGGCTATAGTAAACCCTTATAGTAGCCCTTTAGATGACCCGTCTTTGTAACCCTTATAGGAAACGCATTCGTAGCAGTGCTTGGCATCTAGGAACCTTAGAGTCTCTGCGTGCCGAAGGCTTCTTCGGAAAGGCAGAAGATCAGCAGCAGCCACCACAAAGCATGCCCAACCCTAAGCCCTAAACTCTAAACCCCAGACTCTGAAGAATCGTAGTGCTTCGAAAACCCTCAACTTTTAGATGGGTTCAGCTTTTAGGGTTTGGGTTTTCGGGTTTAGGGAAGTGCTGCAGCAAGCGGCTGGCAACTGCCGCGATCAGCACAGTCGCGAAGATGATCGACTGCTGAATGGCCACTGAATGCCCCCAGTGGGACTCGTTTGCAAGCCTTGACTGCCATCAAAATCAATACAACGGATCTTGCGAACTGAGCAACTACGAAAAAATACTGCAAACCAGGTGAATCATGATTCTTCATGACATTTCGCCCGGCATCCCTAAATCCCAAACCAAAGACTATTCAAGACTAGCGGTTGTTGAGAGCCTGGCCAGAAGCTCTCTCTGAAACTTGTCGGAAGCCCCAAAAAAAGGGTTTTGGGTTCAGGGTTTAGGGGTTAGGGGGGTTTAGGGTTTAGGACCCACAACCCTTGACCTTTCTGGTTCAGGGATTGGAAAGGGCCGGAAAGCAAAGTTGACACACTCGTGATCATGAACATCGCCACGAAGAGCAAGCAGATTTCGATCCTGTGGGCAGTTTGCTTTGGTCTGCTCCGGGGTTCAAACAGTCTTGCCAGGGGTGCCCTCAGGCTTTCTACACGGCAGCACAAGTGGGAGATGGGGCTGAGTGCCTGTGATCTTGTCTTATCTAGCGAAGCTGGGAACACTCTGTGAGAGTTTGCTAGAGTTGAGGGTATTGGGTTTAGAATGATTGAATGTAGGGCCCCATGCAATCCCACAAAGCAAAGCGGCAACAGCAAGCCATCACAAAGTAGCACAGCGCGCTCCTGTTCCACTCTGGCGTATGGTAAGGATGGTAGCGGCAGTACAAATACAGCGACACCAAGACCACCGTGCCTACAAATGTTGTAGGAGAGGGTTGAAAGGGTGTTGTCAGGATTCGCTGGCTTGGGATCTGCATGGTCGGTTTAGGATTTAGGGTTTAGGGGGTATTCGGCTTGATCGATTACTACTGACATCTTCACTGACCAAGCCCAACCCAAATCCAGGTAGCTCTGAATAAACAATTATATACACTTGTATATATGTATAGATATTTATACATGTATAGATTAATGTTTACATGTATTTTTTGTATGTTATTAGATATTACGATAAAAACAACCTATACAAAGATATTTTTATATATTTGTACAGTAGGGCAGAATTTGGAAAGCTCGGGTCTCGAGTCTGCTTGACGGATGAAAGGACTTGGTAAATAGGTTTGTGACTAGAAAATAACATTGCTGTTTTAAGGGCTCCTTTCTTCGGTCCACAGGAAGTGTAGCAAAAGCCTGTTCAGTACAAAATGACGGTTTAGGGTTTACGGTCATCCCATGATCCTGCAATTGGGGCTACTTGGAGGCTCTGGGGTAGCTATAAGTCGGATTATACGTCCCCTAATATAGTTATAACAATAGTTATCCCACCTATAACCCTACTTATAACTACCCATGAACCTCCAAGTAGGGCTTTGCATGAGGGGCTCTCCTCTACCCTCAAATCTCAGCTGCTCCGTTCACCGGAGCTTGGTGTTTAGGGTCTAGGTCTAAGTTTTCAGCTCAAGCCCTCAATGTCTGAAAAGCCCCTCAAACCAGCAGTAAACTGCAGGCGCACCTGGCCTAAACATCCCATCTGCAATGCTGGGGACACCGCTATTGGCAGCAAGACGCCGATGAAGGCAACGAGAGTCTTCCTTCATCGAAGCGCATGGGAAAAATGCCTAAAGTCAAAGCCCAAAGCCCCTAAACCCTAAACCCCAACATCTTGTCGAGGTCGAATCTGGGCCTCGTGCTGCCATTCATTCGAGTGTCTTCGAGAGGCTTCTTTGGAGACTTGAATGTGGGCCTTCCTTTGCCCCTTCTCTTGCTTTGACCACCCTACTCGGAGGATCATGCATTAGTAAGTAAGGTTAAAAGTACCTTAATTGGGGTTAAAAGTAGCTATAAGTAGAGTTACCCTAATTACAACCCTAGTTACGAAGTCGCATGACCCTTTAAGCAAGGTTACCTCGTTAACCTCTGGTGAAGCTGCAACCATGAGTATCTTCCTATAGCCTGTGCCAGCTCCTATGATGTGGAAGGACGTGTCTGGCAGGAAAAGGAGATCGGTTTAGGGTTTAGGGTTTCGCGCCCGCAATGGCTACGGTGTCCAGGCAGGGAGCATCGCTTCCAAGAAATTGGGAATCACCCCAAGCCCTACAACCCAATTAAACCCCAAACACCAAACGCCAAACCCTAATTAACTAATTAAAACCAGACCCTAAACCCTAGAACAAATCAAAAGCCATCATCCCTAAAACTTGAAAGTTCGGAGGGTAGTGATCTTGCTTCCATCAGGTTAAGCCTAGGTGAAAGAGGATCTGGGGTTCGGGGGTACCTCTTCTTCGGTTTTCCTTGTCTCATGATCATATCTGTAGATAAATATACATGTGTGTATATATAAACATACATACAAGTTTACATACACACATACATACATACATACATGCATACATACATGCATGAATGCATGCACAAATACATGCATGCAAACATATACATGCATACATACATACATGCAGACATGCATGCCTCCATACATACCTACCCTCCATACACGTACATATACATATACATATACATATACATATACATATACAAATACATATACATATACATATACATATACATATACATATACATCTACATCTACATCTACATGTACACTTACACATACAGATACAGATACAGATACATATACATATACATAAACATATACATACACAACTGTATAGAATTATGTATAAACATATATGTACAGATTGATAGATACATAGATAGATAGACAGCCAGACAGACACACTGATTGATTGATTGATTGGATTGATTGATTGAGTGAGTGAATGAGTGACTAAGTGAGTGAATGATTGATCTGTTTGTCTATCTATCTGTCTATCTATCTATCTGTCTATCTATACAAACACACGTACACACCACCGAAGCACTGCAGCTTCCGCGGCTCCTGATCAAGCGTTCCGTCTCAAAGAGCTCGAACTGCGAACGGTACTTGGAGGTCAGGAGGACCACGTGGCTGGGCAGGGGCTCCTGCAAGGCGATTTGGAGTTTAGAGATTTGTGCGTTTCAGGTTTTAGGGTTTCAGGGTTTAGGGCTTCGGGTTTCGGGTTTAAGGTTTCCGGTTTGGGGTTTCGGGTTTAGGGTTTAAGGTTTCGGGTTTAGGGCTTCGGGTTTCGGGTTTCGGGTTTAGGTCTTTTAACCCCTCAAAGCGCAAGCCCAACATCCCGGAGCCCAGTTAGGCGGAGGTGTTGAAGCTGTTCTTTTCCAAGGGAACTACGGCTGATGATACAAATCCTGCATTACCGTAAGGACCATAAACTGTGAGAACTATGGTATATTCCTTGTTATGGATAGTGCAGGATTTAAACCATCAACCGTACCACTGCCACGATCCAGTCTTGCAGCAAGCTGCTGGGAGTCTGTAGGGATTTTAAGGTCGAAAGGCTTATTTTTTTGTTGAACCCTCTTTTCCGTTTGCCCCTAAGGTTAGGTAGAACACCAGGTTGGCGGAGGGAGTGGAATGGGAGGCCAGCAAGTTAGCAGGGGGGATTCGCCACCACTACCACCCATGCATACCCCGTACTGGCAATTATCCATCTCGAAAGGTTTAAGGGTTTGGGGTTTAGGGTGGAGTCATATTGCCAAGACGCAGAATTCGGAAATCACAACTTGCCTTTTCGACTTCGGGAAGCTATTGGGGAAGTATGCTTGGCAACACTCAGTTTTGGGACAAGCCGCTTTACTGGGAAGTTGCCATTTGCAGAATCATGTTTTGCGGCAAGCCAAAGGGGCGTTCGCTCGCGTGCTTCCGTGGCTACAGGGGAACGGAAGTTGGCAGGGTCCTGTTCTCAGGCGCCCAAAAGAGCAAGGTAAACCTCAAACCCAAAACGCTAAACACCAAAACCCAGAACCCCAGGTGACTACGAGAACAGGGGGGCATTACCCCTGAACAACCGACTGAAGAACCCCCGAGACCAGCAGATCGAAAGAACAAGAACGAACATACCCACATGACATGACATTAATATGATATGACGGAAACATGTCATGATGATATGAAATCAATTTGTCTATGTTTTACTGAAGAAAAAATGTATTCACATCCTGCCACACATACAGTTACGAACAAAAGGCCCAGCGCAGGGATAACGAAGGAACTGTATCGGCCCATCGAAGCGAGCCCAGACACTTGGGCTCAGGCCCAAAAATCGAATATGGGGTTTAGGGGTTTGGGTGTAGAGTTTGGAAAATCCGAAGCCAGACGTGCCAGCTGTTGGGGGGTGACTCTTTGGAGACTTGGGTTTGTGTCTTGGAGTTCAATTTTCGAAGTTTGGGCTGACGGCGTTGGTGCGAGGCCACCAAAATCTTTACGCTGCTCTTCGTCTCTAGTCCGGTATGGAAACGAGTTTAAGGCCCGGAGCCCTCTAAACCCTAAACCCTAACAATTGACTCTTCCGAAGGGTGTCGCAACTTGCCCTCCACTTGCCTCTGCCGATCTCGACAAGCTGAGCCCCAAAAGCCAGAGACTCCAATTTCTCTTATTTAGGGAATATACCTTATATTATGTTAGGATCCCTGAAATAATTTAAGGTATATTCCTTAAAATAACAGGATACTTCCCCAATATAATTCAAAGGTATATTCCTTAGATTAACAGGGTTTAGGGTTTAGGGTTTAGGGGGTTAGGGTTTAGGGTTTAGGGTTTAGGGTTTAGGGCTTAAGGTTTAGGGTTTTTGGGTTTAGGGTTTAGAGCTTAGGGTTTAGGGTTTATTTGGGTGGTTGTCAAAATCATGGTCCTTTTTGCGGCCTTAATAAAATACTGCACCTACTATTTAGGGTACCCAAGAAGGGATCATAATTTTGACAACCACCCATTTGTTTCTGCAAGAACGGCACAAGAATTGAATTTTGTCCCGGGAGCACCGAGAAGCACAAGGAAGCCCACCCTGAAACCTCCACAAACAGATCTAGGGTTTAGGGTTTAAGGTATCCTCAATCATGTCACTGTCGCGTTTCACATCCCAAACTCTGGAAGCCCACTGTGTCCAAAGCCATCTAAAACTGCAACTCAACTCTGCAACAAGCCCTAAACCCAAACATATCCGGCGTCCGGTGGAGGCTTTTTTGCCCTAAACCCTAAACCATAAACACTGGAGGGTGTCAAAACCTTGCTGCTTCTAAGAGGCTTACCAAGGGACTGCGGGCCAGGGGACCATCTGAAAGACCAAGCTTTGTGAAACCCTTTCTCAAAACCGGGTTTAGGGTTTAGGTCCCCAGGCACTAAACCCCATCCAACCTCAGAAAGAGCACAATGTAGAACAAAGAAGCCATGTCCAGAGTGCTGCGGTCATGAACAGAGTGAGGCCGCCAACCACCTGGAGCTTCCACTTACGGCTTGGAGTTCGGGGATGCGGGGTCTATCTTTTCTATGTTTACAGGGTTGAAAGCTATAGTATTGAGAGGTCAGGGCTTGGTATTCGGTTTAAGATTCAGCCCGAGTTTAGACGCGCTGTTGGGCGGCGCGAAGGTTTCCAGACCTTCAGGTGTAAAGGATGGCCGCAAGGGAATGCAAACAACCTCGAAACCTCGAAACCCGAGACCCGGAACCATAAACCCCAGATAAGGTTTATCTATGCCTCGACTGGGATCCTCAGCAGAACACTCTAATTACAATAGATACCTGATACCTTATGGATAGCCTTGAGTACAAACACATCATGCTTCCGAAACAGAGAACCGAGCACTCCCCTACACGCGCAGAGTCTAAACCATTATTTCAGGAGTATACTTGGAGGATCATGGGACTTAGTAAGTAAGGTTACAAGTACCTGAATTGGGGCTATAAGTAGTTATAAGTAGAGCTACCTTAATTATAACCCTAGTTACTAAGTCCCGTGATCCTTTGAGTACCGGAGATCAGATTCAGGATCCGCCCATAACTGCAGGCAGGCTACGTTACACAAGGTAAACCCCCCCAAAACCCTCAACCCCAACCCCTGAACCCCACCTGCGTCCCACCGGCGAGCCCGGCACCCCTCGGAAGGTAGGGACACTGCAGGCCCTGCAGCCCAGAAATGCCTTCGGGCTCCAGCCGGTAGCCTGAGACTTGCAGCTTTCAGCTCTCGTGGGCTGTATTTAGGGTTTGAGGTTTAGGGTTTAGGGTTTCGGGGTTTAGGGGTTTAGGGTTTAGGGAACAAGCCTCTATTTGGAACACAATACGAAGGAGAGGCTCCTTGACCTCCGGAGTCTAAAAGCTTGTGGGCTCGAGGGCGCAGCGCTTCTGGTGGTGAGGAAGAAGGAGTTGCCATAGGGACCCTTAGAGGGGTAAGGGGGAGGAGGAGGGTGGGAGACTATACTTCCTTAAATGGGCCTGATGAGGTCCATGTAATAGATATTAAGGCCTGCTACCCCCCTCCCCCCTACCCCCCGAAGGGTCCTTATGATGTTGCAGGGTTTGCAGAAAAAGCTCTATCTCAGCTCCTGGCACACCAGGTACTTGCCGAAGTCGGCGGCCATTGTGGGCAAGAAGCAATTCAGACCTGTTTAAGGTTTAGGGACCCGTTTAGAGTTTGGGGTTTAGGGACCTGTTTCGGGTTTGGGGTTTAGGACTCTGCTGTGGTACAGAAGCCATGTGTTTGGAAGACACGGTTGGGGTTCGAATTAGCAAGCCCTATTGAAGAAGCCCCTTATAGTACCCCGCGCTTGTAGCAAGCCTTACTGAGGTAGCCCGCGTATCAGTAGCCCATTTTTGCCCCGAGGTCTTCCGACGATGCCTAAACCCTAAACCCTAAACCCCTAAAGCCGGCCTGCGATCAGAGCAGCACGAAAATCCTTCATCAAGGACAGCGTGGCGACAAGAAGGGCGGCCACAGCCTGCTCGGGTGGGACAGTAATGATAGATAGTGAGGTTTAGGGTTTAGGGTTTAGGTAACAATAACACAGCCGATCGAAGCACGAAGAAGAAGAAGAGCGAGAGTAAGAGTAAGAGAAACAGTAAGAGTAAGCCTGGCAGATATACAAAAAGCAATGATGGTCATTCCAACACCAAACATAACAAGACTACTCATGACAACGGTAAGAAGAGGAAGAAGAGTAGGTAGGAACCGAAACCCTAAACCCGAAGCAGAAGAAGACCCTAAACCTTAAACACTAAGAAGACGAAGAAGAGGAGTAGGTAGAACCCTCAACCCTAAGAAGAAGAAGAAGAAGAGTAGGTAGGAACCTATCCCCTTAACCCAACCCTACACCCTAAGACGACGAGGAAGAAGAAGAGTAGGTAGGAACCTCAACCCTTAATCCTAAACGCCAGGAAGACGAGGAAGAAGACGAGTAGGTAGGAGGCGCTGGGCCAAAAACTACTGCTGATGGACAAAATCCTGCATGACCCTAAGGACTCTAAACTACCGGAACTATGGAATATTCCTTACAACGGGTTATGCAGGATTTATATCCCTAAACCCTAAAACCCTATAGATCCCTTAAAGGAGCCCCTTTAAAGGTACCCTTATAGATCCCATTTTTTTAGGAACCCCAGGATTTATGTCAACAGTAGTGAACGACGCTGCGAGGCTTTTCGTGTTTCGGCTTCAGGGAAGATCTAGAGTCCTTCAAGTCAAGGCTTAGGGTTTAGGGTTTAGGGTCTAGGGTTTAGGGTTTAGGGGTTTAGGGGTTTAGGGGTTTAGGGGTTAGTGGTTTAGGGGTTTAGGGGTTTAGGGGTTTTGGGTTTGGGGTTTAGGGTTTTAGGTTTGGGGTTCAGGGCTTAGGGTTTGGGGTTTAGGGGTTAGGGTTTAGGGTTTAGGGTTTTGGGTTTTGGGTTTAGGGGGTTGGGGTTTAGGGTTTAGGGTTTAGGGTTTAGGGGGTTAGGGTTTAGGGTTTAGGGGTTTAGGGTTTAGGGTTTTGGGTTTTGGGTTTGGGGTTTGGGGTTTAGGGGTTTAGGGTTTGGGGTTTAGTGGTTTAGGGGTTTAGGGTTTAAGGGGTTAGGGTTTTGGGTTTCGGGTTTAAATGTTTAGGGTTTAGGGGTTAAGGGTTTAGTTTTTTTGAGGGTGAACTACGTGCAGCCGGGTGACGACGTCCAGCAGATGAGGACCCCATCTGAGTGGCATGCCACGCAAACACAAACATTTAGGGGGGGGGGGGGGCCGCAAGAAATTCTGCCTGAACTGCTCGCCTGAAGCCCAAAGGCTCTCTGCTTAGAACAAGCTCTTGGGTCCTTGACTATTGATATTCCTATTTGTATTCTTATACTGTTATTATTACTATTACTAGTAGTATTACTATTATCATAATTATCGTCATCATTATTCTTCTTATGTGCAAGCGAGCTACACGGTCTTCTCGAAGCCGATGTAGGACAAGAGGCACTGCGAAGAGACGCTGTGCAGGGACCCTGGTTGGCAGGATGGGCGTTGAGGCTTAGGGGCTTAGGGTTTAGGGTTTGGGATTTAGAGTTTAGGCTTTAGGGTTTAAGGCTTTTTTTAGCGGGTTTAGGGTTTAGGGTTTTGGATTAGGCTTAGGGTGCAGTGCAACTCTGGGCTCGTAGAGCCCCCATAGCGATCTGGGGTTAGGGCTTAGTGTGTGTTGACTCTACTTGGAAGGGCAGGGGACTTAGTAAGTAGGTTATAAGTAGAGTTATAAGTACCCTAAACGGAGTTACCACAATTATAACCCTACTTATGAACGACTTACTAAGGCCCCTGCCCCTCCAAGTAGTCCCAGGTGAATGCACAAGGTTAGGAGCTCAGGCTTTTGACAGGCTCCGATGGGTGGTGCTCTGTTCGAGCCACTAGAATAGGGCCCCCAAGAAGCACATAAGCAAAAATTAGTATAGGGATATCCCATATAAATCCCCTTATAATGAAGTCCAATAAGGTAGGGATATCCCCATAAAATGCTTATGCTTATGTGCTTTTTGGGTCCCTAATAGAATTAGATTCGTGGTGAACGTGTGCACGCACGCGCACTTTCTCAAGTCTCAAGACTCATGTACAACTAATCTGCTACCTTGAACCTGACTCGGGAATTCGCATGTCCTTGTCCAGCGGAAGCTGTCTGGGCCACAAAGTCAGTGGCATCGAACAAGAAGCTTGCCTTGCAGCTTTGAATCTAGGGTTTTGGAATGAAAATGCTTGGACTTTAGCTTTCACTGCCATGTCCGAGACCCTAAACCCTCAAACCCGTCCTAAACCGTTAAGCCTTGAAGCCCAAACCCTAAACCCTAAACTCATGCAGGGCGGCTGATTCGCTTCTGATGTGTTTCGCAGTCTGGGTCTGCAACACAGCTGCCATGATCCTCGGTTCTCTGCCAAGGCACATGATGATAACGGCTCCAGCAAGACTTACTACAAGAGTTTCTGTTGGAAGACTATATTTCTATATAAGGGCTACCATTTAGCTTGCTATAAGGATTGTGTCGAGAGGCCTCAAGAGGTAGACTGGGTTCTCATGCATATTATGCCACAGTAATCATAGAGAAACGGCTGAGGAATATTACATATTTTGCCTGCCAGCGTCGTGTTGGAGATGGTAGCAAAGGCCATCAGCTGATTTAGGTAGATGCTGCTGTGCTTCAGATCGCCAGCCTTGGCTAGCGGACTCTCAGGCACGAGCATAGGCTCAAGTCCATTCTCTGCCGAACTCGCATGGCCTCTTCCACATGCCAAGTGTCCGTCTTGGCGCCGATGGCGCTTGTGGCCGCGAGTGCGAAGAGGAATGTTCGCTGTGACAAGAACAAAATCCATTGCACCACCTGCGCTGGCTGGACAGACTTGAGTGGGCCTTCCGCATTACCTCCGAAGACTTGGTTCTTCAGGAAGGTCACAAACACCGTGCAGATCCGGCACCGTAAGGGAGATCTGCTGTTGCTTTGGCCCTGACCGCTCTTTTTATTATTTTGGGCCGCATGTTTGTGAGGAAAAGGGCCAGGGTGGGCCTGGGGGGTTTAAGCAGGCCGGGGTTTGGGGTGGCTCTGGGGAGGGGGAAACTTCCTCCTCCTCCTCCTCCTCCTCCTCCTCCTCCTCCTCCTCCTCCTCCTCCTCCTCCTCCTCCTCCTCCTCCTCCTCCTCCCCCTCCCCCTACTACTACTACGACTACTACGACTACTACTATTACGACGACAACGACTACTACTACTACTACTACTACTACTACTACAACTACTACTACTACGGTTGATGATATAAATCCTGCATTACCTTAAGGAACCTAAACTATGGGAATTATGGTATATTCCTTATTATGGGTCATGCAGGATTTATATCATCAACCGTACTACTACTACTACTACTACTACTACTACTACTACTACTGCTACTACTACTACTACTACTACTACTACTACTACTACTACTACTACTACTACTACTACTACTACTACTACTACTACTACTACTACTACTACTACTACTACTACTACTACTACTACTACTACTACTACTACTACTACTACTACTACTACTACTACGCCTGGACTCTTACGACGACGGCTACCCTGACCCTAAACCCTGCACCCTAAACCCTGAACCCTGAACTCTGAACCTAAAGCCCAGACGACCGAGAGGAAGCAACTTGGGGCGAACAGGGCTTGGCCTGGGCGGAACGGCGTGTTCTGCAGGCTTTGCCTTGGCTTAGGGTATAGGATTTAAGGTCTTGGATTATAGGATATTGGGTTTCGCTTAGGGTTTAGGGGTTTAAGGCTGCAAGGATTGAGGGTTTAGGGTTGGAGGGAATAGGTTTAGGGTTTTCAGGGCTATCATTGACACTTATTATCAGTACTAGTAGTAGTAGTAGTAGTAGTCGTCGTCGTAGTAGTAGTAGTAGTAGTAGTAGTAGTAGTAGTAGTAGTAGTAGTAGTTAGTGTTGGTGTTAGTGTTGGTGTTAGTGTTAGTGTTAGTGTTAGTGACTGTTAGTGTTAGTGTTAGTGTTAGTGTTAGGGTTAGGGTTAGGGTTAGGGTTAGTGTTAGTGTTAGTGTTAGTGTTAGTGTTAGTGTTAGTGTTAGTGTTCGTGTTGGTGTTGGTGTTGGTGTTAGTGTTAGTGTTAGTGTTAGTGTTAGTGTTAGTGTTAGTAGTAGTAGTAGTAGTAGTAGTAGTAGTAGTAGTAGCAGTAGTAGTAGTAGTAGCAGCAGCAGCTTCAGTAGTAGTAGTAGTAGTAGTAGTAGTAGTAGTAGTAGTAGTAGTAGTAATACTAGTTGTTGGTACAGTTGTCGTCGTCGTCGTCGTCGGAGTAGTCCTGACGGTTGCAGTAGTAGTAGTAGTAGTAGTAGTAGTAGTAGTAGTTGTTGTTGTAGCAGCAGCAGTAGTAGCAGAAATGTAGGATTACTACTGTAATATTTTTATTAAAGCTGCTATGTAGCAGAGATGCGCATCGAGACGAGTACTATACGGCCTAGAGCAAGAAGATGCAGCGGCCTCAGCTCATGAAGTAGAAGACTTCGTCGTGTGTGCGTGTGTAACCCACAGGCTGCAGGCCGTTTATGCGGACACCGGCTCCGTGGAAGGCTCCCCGAATAATGAAAACTCTCAGGAAACGGAGCTCAAAAGCGACAAAGGCACAGACGAGCACACTGCTGTCTGCCATTGCGTAGCCATCGCTGCAGTCGGCGCAGCCCTGGCCTTGAAAACCTGGCAGGGATTCGAGGGAGCGAGCAGTGTACCATCTGTGAAGGACGCACCGGAAGCATAGGTTTTTCAAAAAAACCTAAACCTATGCTTTTTAACAAACCTACGCACTAAGAGCAAACAGACCTGGCTTTGATGTCACGGATGTCCAAAACCCGAACCCCCCAACACCTGAAACCCAAAGCTCCTAAACCCCAAACCCAAAGCCCTAAATTCCTAACATTAACCCCTAAATCTTAAAAGCTGCCCCCACCCTGTAATAGCGACTATAAGGATTATATTAGGGCCCTATTCTATTCCTATTATACCACTATTACAGGGTGGGGGCCCCTTCTAACCCTAAACCCTAAACCCTAAATCCCCTAACCTTCAAAGTTGGGTGACTTATCGATCTGGGGCTATGCTGCAAACGCTTGCGAGGCCTGGAACCTGACGACTGACCCTACGCTGTAAATAGCCCCTTAACTTACCTTTGGTTAGTAGGAATAGAAGAATGGTAGTAATAGTAGTTATAATTGTACCCCATTCCTCCATTCCCTACAAACCAAAGGTAAGTTAACCCTTAAAACCCTAAGCCTATATGAATACTAATACCACTAATACAAATACTAATACGAATACCGATACTACTGCCAAAACCAATACTGATGCTTATACTAATGCCAATCCGAACACGAATCGAGTACGAATACTAAAACTAACGCCAATACTGATACTGAAACTGATACCAAAACTAACACTAATGCTGACTGCTAGATATTAACCCTATCAACCGTGAAAAAAATCCGGCCCTACTGTAAGCGAGGGGTGCTTGACTCGAAGCGTTGGGCGATGAAACCTGGAAACTGAAGCACTTGTTGCAGCTCGTGCGGCCGTCTTCGCACATGGGTACCTTCACTGCTCCATGAGAAAACTCGCCCCCTGCGCAGGCAGCCTCTTGATCGGAGTGTAGGGTTCGGGTTTATGATTCTGGGCAGGAGGTTCCAGCGGCATAGAGGGCACGCGAATCTACGCTCGGTGGCAAGAAAGGCGAGAAGCAGGAATACCGTGGTATCACTCATCAACCACCCACCCATAGGCCCAGCTCATCGCCTCCTTTAACCCGGCTACCCCGAGCCCTTTTTGTTGGGATGCCCTGCGCACGACAGGAGGGCACTAGGGCGGATCACGGTTGGTCTTGGGGATTTAGGGTTTAGGGTTTCGGGTTTAGGGTGCAGGACTTTGGGGTTGGTGTTCTAGCGGTGTGGTCTTGGCCCTCTGTGGCAAAAACGGAACTACAGATAGGATCCTGGAAAGCAGCAACTACCTACAATACGGCACAGGAGCCCAAAGGAATACCCATCGACCACTTTGAGAGATTAGTCAGTGAAAGAGCAGGCTTCTAAGCTGTACATACGGATACCGGGAACGGCTGCCTTAAGCGGTCCTACCCGCGGGTAGGATGTTCCATACCGGGAGACTCGGGTATGCCTTTCTGACGAGACACACCTGTGCTTAAAGGCTAATCTTTAGCTTGCGCTTCAGTGTGTGTCTTGGCCGCAGCCGTTCTGAGACTTCACTGGTGCTCTCGGCTTGATAGGATCAGGATCTCTGTCTTCCTAGACGTGAACACCACAAGACCTTTACAGACAAACCCTTACAGCATAGACAACGAATAACAAGGAGCAGCTCTAGCACCTAGCAGTCCAAGCGTTGTAGACCAAGAACACTTCCAAAAGCAGCACTGAGGCCCCCAAGAGACCATGAACCCCACGAGTCCAAATACTGTGGCAGGAGTGCGATTCATGAAGATCCGAAGCGCAGGATTTTGCAGTGAATGGGGACGCGACCGGCGCAGGACTGTTGATCGAACGTGTATCTAGTCGAAAATATGCACCGTGACGAAGCGCGAGCTGCGGAACTGCAGGGAGCGCCTACCCCTCGCACGTTTCGCGGGTTTCCCAAACCTACCCCCCTAAACCCCAAACCCTAAACCCCAAATCCGCTGGTTCAGGGTTTAGGCTCCTTGGATCTCCAGAGAGTATGCTGGCTGCTTCAAGGCTGAGGCTCTCGGGATGAAGCTAGGTAAAGCGTAAGGATCTCCGATGCTGCGCTTAAACCCTATAGGCCCTAAACCCTATACCTTTGGGGCTTTCATAGACACAAGCGCAAGAGATCTCCAAGCTCCACAGCTGACATTTCCCAGGATGGAAACATCGAAAGGCTGCTTTCCTTGACAGAAACATACAGAAACCCTACCCTGATCCACAGCCCGTGTCCCCCAATCCTAAACTAGGTGTCGATTTCAACTGTCGCCAAAAATACATACAAGTAGGGCTCTGCGTCAAACAATACAGGAAATTAAAACTCATCCCAAATCGATACCTGGTATAGCCCGAAGGCCTTGTCTCCCCACAGTTTAAAAGTCGAAGGCCCTGAAGCCCAACCTCTAAACCGTAGAGCCAGAGTTCAGGGATTAGGGTTTCGGGTTCTGAGTCTTCCCAGCCTCGTTCGGACAGTGGAAGGTGCGGCTCACGTTTCGCATGTCTACCATCAGTCCCGGCCTCACTTCAAAGAGTGCAGTTTCAGCCCTCGGGCTTCTGCGGTTTAGGGTTCAGGGGTTTTGGGGGTTTAGGGGTTTACGTTAGAAGCTGCCCCCACCCTGTAATAGTGACTATAAGGATTACATTAGGGCCCTATTATATTCCTATTATGCCACTATTACAGGGTGGGGGGCCCTTCTAAGGTTTACGGGTTTAGGGGTTCAGGCTTAGGGGTTTAGGGTTTAGGATCTAGGGATCCTAAAGCCTAGGCTTTGGGCGCTTCAGGGCTCAAGGTTTTCAGGCTCCGGGTTTAGGCCTTAGTGGGTTTATACAGGAGAGTTTCAGACTTTCAAAACTCCCAGCTGACCCGTCAACATGCCCAGGGGGCCATGGTCCCTTTGAGGTTTAGGCTTAGGATTTAGGGCTTAGGGTTTAGGGTTTAGGGTTTAGGGTTTAGGGTTTAGGGTTTAGGGTTTAGGGTTTAGGGTTTAGGGTTTAGGGTTTAGGGTAACCTCCTGTATGGCCAAGATCCGACGATGAGTAGCAGACATGCACACCCGCTGACCTCTACACCGCCTTCAGAAGCCTCAGCCCTGCAGTCAGAAGCACCGAAGTGTACTTGGAGGATCATGGGACTTAGTACGGGTTCCTTAGAAGGGCTCCTTAAAGGGATCTATAGGGGTTCCTTAAAGGGATCTACAGGGTTTGGGGTTTAGGGTTTACTTGGAGGATCATGGACTTAGTAAGTAAGGTTGTAAGTACCTTAATAGGGTTACCCCTAAGTATAACCCCAGTTACTAAGTCCCATGATCCTTTAAGTAGAGAAAGACACTCCATCTTGAGCTCGCTCGCTGAGCACTGCCCACCGTCTGGGCAGCGGTGACACGACCTGGAGGCTGCCACGAAGGCCGTTTAGGGTTTAGAGTTTAGGGTTTAGGGTTTAGAGTTCAGCAATCATCTTGTCAAAGGGTCGGGCTCAAAAAGTCAAGGCTTTCCGCTCGATATCGGGTCGTAGTAGTTAGAACTCTTGTAACCGGGCTTCCGGGTCTGTTATACTATAATCACAGTTCATGACCCAGAAGAACAATCGGAGAATCGGAGGGAGCCAAATGTGCTGTGGTAGAACGCTCCTTCTGGGTTCTTGCTAAAGAGTTGAACTTAGGGCTTCCTGATATTATGGTAGCTTCAATGCAGCTGCATAGCCAGAACCCAATTGGGAGCTTCCGAAAATAGGGGATCCTAATATAGCACCCTAAATAGTAGGATCCTTAAATAAGGTACCCGCAATTTTTTGAGGGTTTAAGGAAGAGGGAGTTGGCATCCGTCTGGAGCTTGCGCTTTGTATGCGGCTCGAGGGTGTAAGGTTGTCGATCGCAGGAATAAGGCTCTGGTGTCGTGGTGGGCCCCCGCGGCACAGAAAAAGCACTAAACCCTAAACCTTAAACCCTAAACCCTAAACCCTAAACCTTGAACCCTAAACCCTAAACTAAACCCTAAACCCTAAACCCTAACCCTGAAGAGCAAAACAAGCCCGAAGGAGCTGCTTCTGAGATGCCTGTTCGACACATTGAAAAGCTGCATGTCCCCGGGCTTGCATGCCTGGCACGTCGCCAGCACTTATGGTGCTTGGGGTTGTGCTATAGTCACTATCGTCTCTACCCAGAGACTCCAATATCCCTTAATTATAGGGAATATTCCTTAAATCATATGAGAGATCCTATTATAATTTAAGGTATATTCCTTAATTAAGGGATATTGGAGTCTCTGGGTACCTGACCACTGCCAACAAAATGCAGAGCTGAGGCAGATTAGAGTATGACGGCCGCTCCAACGAAATCCGGCGCAAGCCTAGTGCCATGTCGCTGTACTATCAGAGCGCCTCTTTCAGGGTTTACCTTCACCCTGAATAACCTACCTTCTTGGGGGTCCTTATTATGACTTATTAAAAGAAGTCTTTAAAAATGTAGGTTCTTCAGGGTTAAAGTAGGCTTGAGGGCCTGAGGTTCCGGGGGTTGGGGGGCCGCCCTTCAATGCAAGGCCAGCGTGGCGAAGCAGCCAAAGTCTTCCAACTTCGAGAAGTTCACCACTCCGGTGCCCAAGGGGCAGCGGAAGCCGCGGCTTTCTGAGGTGTTCGCAGAAAACAGACCTCGCTGGCGCATGCTTCTAAGAGCCATCCCGCCGAAAGCGGAGCCAGCACTCGAAACTCAAAATGCTGAGCAGCTGCAAGAGGTGGTGCCCGTACAGTCCATCACGTCTTCCTTGCAGCATCAGATTGCGAGGAAGACCATTGCAACTGAACCTACCTGCTTCGTAGCTAGTTCGTGAACCCAGACATTGCCTTTTCCCAGCAAGTCGTGCGTTTACTGCAGAGCGTCCACGCTTACGCCCCGCTAACCTAAACCCAAGAACCAAAGACCCAAACCTCAAAAAACTACACCATGAGCCGTAAAGCCTAAACCTGAAACCTTCGACCCTGAACGTAAGCCCTAAACCCCTAAACCCTAAACTCGCAGCGATGCCTCCGAGCGTCCAACAGAAGATCCTGCGCTACGACGGAAATACCGAACTTCGATTCCGTGCGAAGGCGAACACTGCCGAGCTGCAAGCTGCCTCGCAGGAGGGTCGAGAGTCTCTCGTAAGTAGTGTATATAGCTTACATACATATTTGTTTATACATATATATATATATATGCATAATGTGTGTATATATATATATATATGTATATAGTGTATATACAGCGTATATATATATATATATATACACACACATAGATTTAGAGAGAGAGTGTGTGTGTGTATGTGTGCGTCTTATGCAGATATATTATCTATGTTGTGGAGTTATAAATACCATAACCCCATTTAGGATCCCGCTGACGGTACTTATACCTCTACCTCCGAGATCCCACGACCCTCCAAGTAGCAGTAGCAGGAGGCTAGAGAGATTTGGGTTTTGTTAGGGTTTAGATGGATGTTCTGAGATTCTCCAAGTGTGTTGTAAGGATCCTGTAACGTTTCTGAAAGGGCTACTATGCCGGTGCAATAAGGGCTTGGGGCTTGGGGTGTGAAGGTTTTGGGCTTAATGATGACAGTTACCGGGCTTCGCGTTTGGGGCTTCGAGCTAGGGTAGACTATCCTGCACGGAACCTCTCTACAAAGCACGGGATCAACTCGTCGATTCTGAGACAGTCACCAGGCCTTTCGGTGACGAATTGGACGGCCGGAGCCGTCATGTCTAGAAACCGGAGTATGCTGACTACAATGACTGCGATCCGGACCAGGTTGGCTGTAAGCTACGATCGCGGAGTTGGAGTTTAACTCTTCCCCTGTGATAAAGCCTCAGGATCAAGCTTCGGTGCACGATGGAGTGTTGGCAATTCTGAGGCTTTCTCGCTCACAGCTGACCGTTTTCTGAAAATCTTGGGGAAGTCCCAGCTCGGCAGGTCACGAAATCTGCAATCGATGTCTTGGCCTGCAACTGCGAAGTCTTTCACATCGCTTTTCTCGTCATTCGCCAAAGTAAGCTCCTGAAGCCAAGAGGGCTGCGGGTGTGGGTAATAATGCTAACGATAGGTCTGGTGAAGTGATATCCGCCATCAGCTTCATATGATGCTGGGAGATCGCATGCTTGCATACTTGTTAATTGCGTCTGCATTCCGCCCTAAAAATGCAGTCCTACATGTACATTGCAGCATTGTCCACTGCACTCGCAACACTATCCGAGTCACTATCCTACAAAACGTGTCCGCAGTCCTGAATATGCACTGTTGCATTGTCGACCGCAGTTGCTGCGAAGGCTGCAGCACCGACGCGAGCATCACACTGCTCGAAGCGCAGTTTCACAAAGTGTCCTGAAGCTCGGCAAAAACAGGTCTTACAGTCTTACACTATTGTTCCGCTCAGGATGAGCTGGCCAACAGGCCCCCGTGTCACGGTCAGCCCCATGGCTGCTTTAAGAAAGGCGGTTTAGGGTTCAGGGTTTAGGCTTGAGGTTGAGTTGGGTTCAGGGTATTGGGAATTTGCATACTGTGGCATTAGAAGATCAGGGGTTAGGGTAAGGGTCCAGGATCACAAGAACAAGGGCCGTAAACCCTGAACCCTAAACCCCCAACAAAGAAGAAAGACAGCTTGGCGTCCTTGAACGGCACTGGAAAAAATCCCGCCACCAGTGCTTGCAGCACTGCAGGCCTCCAGACTGCCGCTATGATTATGGATTGGGTTCAGGGTGTAACCAAAAAAAACTCCAAATAATTATCGATACTATATTTGGGTTTCCTTTTTACGGAACTGTATAATAAACCCCCAAAACCCGGTTCTAGTTATTAAGGGCACTGTAGTAATGTTTAGGGTTCGGGGTTCAGCAGCTCCAGCTCGAGCAGTCTCTAGTCGAGCGCGCTACGGCGGTATCGGCGGAGCTCATCTTACCCAATCAAAGATCCCCTAACATTACAGGAGAAGCCCAAGAGTTGGAAACCCAGTAGCCTCACTCCCTAAGACTAGAAATTATAGGGAATCCAAGCACCAATTGTCCTTGATCAAGTTTGCAACTTTGGCTGTTTTCTATAACATCAGGACCCCGAAGAGACAGAGTCGAAAAAGGAATGCAAACAAACGAAGATTTCGCAGTTGCGGAAAGAAAATGCCCCCAAAGTAATTGCTTGCGAAGCTTTTCACACATGCCCATAAAGCAAACGGCTCCACAGATTTCGCAAATGACCACCAAAAAGACACGAAAATGATGACAGACCCGAAAAAGCAAACGCCCCCGAACGAAGACCTCGCAGATGCTCACCAAGATTCTGCGATTGCGAAAAATCAACAAATGCCCATGAAAAAAAGGCATGCCCCACGAAGCTTTCGCACATGCCCACGAAAGAAAACAATTGCCCACGAAGAGAAAACACTTGCCCGCAAAACACACAGCTGCCCACAAAAAATGCCCACGAACATTCGTTGGCAAGTGCTGGTCTTGTGGGCAATTTCGTTCTTCCTCGGCAGTCGCGCAAACTTCGTGGGCCAATGCAATGCGTATGGAAAGAGCTTCAAGGTTTAGGGTTGTAAGTTCGGGGTTTAGGGCTCTGAATCTGGGGTTTACGGTCTGGGTTTAGGGCCTTGTATGTTGCGGTGACATTCCCTCTTTCGTCTTCCTGCCTGCAGTCGGGCCTCAAATTTTAGTTCTGTCCAAGACCACTACAGTCCACTCCCGGTGTCCGTAAAAAGGATATCCACTCACAATGGCAGCTGCCGACGCCCCTAAACCCCAAACGCTAAATTCCCTTTTGGGCAGGATCCCTAAACCCTAAGCCCGAAACCCTAAACTCTCCCTTTGGGGCATGATCCCTAAACCCTAAGCCCGAAACCCTAAACCCCAAACCGCCTGGAACAACCTCCGTATGGTCACGGCCCGGGGCTTTGATCTCCCTCTGTGGGGGATACCTAGTTAAGCCACGACTCCCTGCTATCACTGACGGAATAGTGCCAATCAAAGTGCCGAACACCCTAAAGCCCGAAACCCCCTAAACCCTAAACCCTAAACCCTAAACCCTAAAGCCCGAAACCTAGCCCGAAGCCCTAAACTCCACAACCCGGAAGCCCTGAACCCCAAAAAAGGACTTCGCTTTGGGACCCTGAGTGAGGGGTGGCTTCCCAGAGACTCCAATATCCCTTAAACTAAGGAATGTACTTTAAACTATATTAGGGATCCTAGCATAATCTAAGGTGTTATTCCGTAATCAAGGAATATGGGGGTTTCCGAAAATAGGGGATCCTAATATAGTGCCCTAAATGGTAGGATCCTTACTATAAGGACCCCAAACAAGGTAACCCCTAATTTTCGGAAACTCCCATAAGCCTAAACCCTATACCCTAAACCTTATAGATCCCTTATAGATCCCTTTAGAGAACCAACCCTCTAAGGGTGTATATTACTTGATTAAGGGATATTCGAGTCTCTGGCTTCATCGGAAGCCCTGCCTCGAAGCTCAGCGAGCCGCCGTGGAGCACCTTCTGGGTAGCATGATGAGGGAGACCCCTTAAAGGGTACCCCTTCTGAACCCTACTTCTGGCTCTCTTAAAGGGGACCTTATTGAAAGGGTCTACATCCCACCTTAAACCCTAGGCCCTAAACCCTAAACCCCAAACCTTATTGAGAGGCTCTATATCCCCGAAGGTCCCCATAATCCTAACTCCCACCTTCCCATTCTCCGGGACGCCTAGGCCGCCGCCTGGCTGGGCTCCCAAGCAGCTTTTCGGGTTTAGGGGTTTTAGAGTTTAGGGTGTTGAGTTTTGCGGTTTAGGGCTTTAGGGGTTTAGAAATTAAGGGTTTTAGGGTTTAGGGTGTTGGGTTTTGGGGTTTAGGGCTTTAGGGCTTTTAGGGTTTAGGGGTTTTAGAGTTTAGGGAGTTGGGTTTTGGGGTTTAGGGCTTTAGGGGTTTAGGGTTTAGGGCCGTTTAGGGTTTTAGGGTTTATATCGGGCTTAAGGTTTAGGAATTTCTGGGGTGGTAGGGCTTCTAAGGGTTTGGGTCTGGGGTTAAGCACGGTTGAAGGTTCTATCCGAAAGCTGCGAAGGTGGCTGGCCCCAGTTGTCCTCTCGGTGTGAGTTGGCGGCCCAACCCCACAACCTTTACATGCGATGGACCCCATGAAACCCTGCACCCTCTCAGTATCATATGGGAGTTTCCGAAAACAGGGGACCCTAATATTAATATAGTACCCTAGATAGTAGGATCCTTATGATAAGGACCCCCAAATAGGGTACCCCTAATTTTCGGAAACTCCCATATTTTGAATGATATGCCCTAAGGCCCCTGGAGCCTGGACCCTACTCTAGGGGCTTCAATGGTTGTTTTAGGGTTGCGGGGTATGCTTTAGGGTTTAGGGTATATTATATCAAAAATAAGGAACCACCAAAATAGTACTGGTAATTATGCGGGCCCCTATATGACAAACCTGAGGCCCATCCTTACCTTTTGTTAGTAGGGAGTGGAAGAATGGAAGTAATAGCAGTTATAATTGTACCCCATTCCTCCATTCCCTACTTGGAGGGGCAGGGGACTTAGTAAGTCGTTCAGAAGTAGGGTTATAATTGGGGTAACTCCATTTAGGGTACTTATAACTCTACTTATAACCTACTTACTAAGTCCCCTGCCCTTCTAAGTACCAACCAAAGGTAAGGATCAGGCCTGCTTCTGCGCGACATGTCTTGAACTGCAAAGAGCCATTGCCGCCGAGCGATATAACGCGAAGGCCACCCCCTCGGTACAGGGGGTTCAGTGGTAGAATCTATAGGACCCCTTAAAGGGATCTGTAGGGTTTAGGATTTAGGGTCTACTTGGAGGATCATGGGACTACTTAGATTCAATGGTATCTTACAGGATTTGTTCGTGAGTTTGCACGTGATTTGCGGGATATTTAAAGGCTTTATTGACGTTGAGGATTGGTCGCTACGGATCGATTACGCATGGTACAGGGACTCCTGGCAAACACGTGGAACTTCTGAACGAGTTCGGAGAACAGTCCACGATTGCTACGCCCCCTCCGGGAAATATATATATATATATATATATCTCTATACATATATATATATGTATATACACACATAGAGATAGAGCTAGACATAGCGATAGAGATGGCGATAGAGCAAGCGATAGAGATAAAGATAGAGATAGAGACAGAGATAAGGATGGAGACAGAGATCGAGATACTGTGTGATATACCATGAAAAAATCACAAAAAAATACAATGCAAATATGAAGCACTGTGCAAATTAGTAGACACAACAAAATGCAACATCGTCAACAACAGTGTGATATGATACTAACTTCAGCAAACCCAAACCTCCAGTACAATGTACCATCGAAATATGTCACACACTAGAACCTAGGATGAAACGAAATGATGAAAGAAAGGTTTATACATTGCAGAATACAGTGCTTCTTTTGTATGCTAAGACGTGTTATAAAAAAGTGTTGTAAAAAAACAAAACTTCTGGAATTCTACATACTGTAAACGATGACTCGATAACGAATGTTGTATAGAGTATGGAACCTGTCCAATGTTTGAAATCCCAGCCAACGTGATGCGATGGAACAGAAGATGCAAACACATACACGATATCCTCGAACATAACAGATTGTAATAGAAATGACGTAAGGATCCTACTGGCGTAATTCGACTCTCAAAGATCTTGGTGAAGCGAACGAAGCACCGGCGCAGTGTTTTGCTGTATGTTCACACACTCAAAATACAACATCGTACAATACCATATTGAATACAAGATAACATGCTCTTAACATGCTCTAATATCCACAAAATAATGTGATATGAGGCTTGAGGCTACAACATTATGTACCAAATGGCTTCTATTGCTACATGTAGTGTAGTAGATTTAGAATATACAAATGTACTTTAAAGTATGCAAAAGAACTCAAGAAACTCTGCAAGACTTTGAAAAAGATGAGAACATCTGAGCGACTGATGTTTTGTCGCAAAGAAACTTTAGACCATGTGATATCCAATACCTTATGTAAGACATTTAACTTCCTTGAAGCAATGGTGCAATACCATACAAGTATGATGTGGGTTGCCAGCATGAATGATTAGGTCAATGTGATAACGGGTTAGTGGTCAACCTAAACCCAAATCCAAATTACACTGAATGAGTTGATGGGTTAGCAGCCCAGACCACAGCCCCATTCCCAGATCCACTTCGCCAGAAAGATGGGGTAGGATTGGGATAATTGGTTAATCGGTTGGGGTGGCGGCTGTGGTCGGATCTATGTATGTATGTGTATATGTATATGTACATGGGCATGTATATGTATATGCATATGTAGAGGTATATACATATACATATTATACATATACAATTACAAACACATACACAAACCCACACAGGCGTATGCACATATGTATATATATATATATATATACATGTGCATCTGCATATACACATATACATACACCTATACATGTACATACAATTGAGTCACATACACATACACACATACATAGACATAGACATAGACATAGACAAAGACATAGACATAGACATAGACATGTACATATACATATACATATGCATATGCATATGCATATGCATAAACATATACATATACATATACATATACATATACATATACATATACATATGCATATGCATATGCACATACACCTAGGCATACATAGACATGGATATAGACTTATATGTATACATGTACATACACATTTGCATAGGCATATACATATACATATACAAGAACATATACATATACAAAATACATATATACACTTATTTATTTATTGGTTCATATACGTACATATATTATTGTGAAAATATGTGTGTATAATACATATATATATATATATATATACGTATCCTCCTCAGCAGCCCGGCTGCAACTGTCCTCGAAGCCGAGGCGCCGAACCTTGCGGTGCAGTTCCGGAAGGCTGCCGAACTCCCAGCTTCCTGCTTGTAGTTCACGGCAAACAGGCCGCCCCCTGAAGCATCGGTTTAGGGTTTAGGGTCATTAGAGCCGGTAAAGGTGGCCACCAGCTGTCGGAGTAGGGATACGAGGAGGAGGAGGAGGAGGAGGAGTTAAACAGCAGCCGCTTTCAGTCGCAGTTGTGGTTGTTGTTGTGGTGCTGGTGGCGGTCATCTTAGTCATACAGGAAGTGCCGTCCAAATCAGTATCAGAAAATGATGATAAACTTTTCTGCAACTCTCACGTCTACTTCAAACCCGACTTGACCCATTCGGTTGTGGCCTGACCTAGTCGCATCTCCCAGGGCCAAGACAGTCAGTGCAAAGTGACAGCCGAGCTCTCTTTAAAATACGGATAGGGGTATCTCATATAAACCCCCTTACGATAAAGCCAAATAGGGTAGGGATATCCCGCTTAAAATGCTTATGTTTATGTCCTTTTGGGGTCGCTGACTTTATGGAGATCCTCTGTGTCTCAACAAACAGCGGTAGCGCCTCTCCCACACTCCGACTCGCTAATCCAGAACCCTAAACCCTAGATCGTAAACCCTAAACCCTACTATAGGAGCCTTAATAATTAGAGTAAGGTTTTCGGGGTATCTAATACTATAACTATAACACTATACCTATAATACTATAACTCTAATACTATAACTATAATAAGGAACCTCCCGACTGGTCTTAGCAATTCTTGAGGCCCCTATATGGGAGTTTCTGAAAATTAGGGGTACCTTACTTTGGGGTCCTTATAATAAGGATCCACTATTTAGGGCAACTATATTACGGTCCCCTTATCTACGGAAACTCCCATATGAGACCCTCAACCCCAAACCCTAAACCCTAAACCCCAAACCCTAAACCCTAAACCCTATACCCTGAACCCTAAACCCTGCCAAGGCTCCTCTTTTGGCGGTGCAGCTCTGGAACTCTGCGGAGCTGTCGCGCCCCTGCCGGAAGAAGTTGCTCGCGCCACCTCCGCCTGTGTGCTTTAGGGTGTAGAGTGTTCCTAGAGGTTCATGGATAGTTGTAAGTGTGGTTCTTTGTAGGATCGAACCTAAATTACAGGGGACTTGTATAGCCCCACTTATAACTACCCATGAACCTCCAGGGTTTAGAGTCTCAGGGCTCAGGGTTTAGGGGCAAGAGTTTAAAGCAATCCCTGCCATGTGGCCACCGGGGACATCCCGTCACAAGGCAGACCGTAGAAAATGAGCGGGCGGGGGGGCTAAACCCTAAACCCCAAACCCTAAACCCTTATAAACCCTCATAAACCCTCATAAACCCTCATAAACCCTAAACCCTAAACTTGGCGAGGCTCCGTCAACAGCTGCACAGTTCTCGAAGAGCGCCGCGCTGCGTGGCTCTTGGGTCCAGGTATCCGACCAGAGGGCGCCGCCTTGGAGGCTTCAAAAAAAAAAAACTAAAAGGCCCTAAGTTAAACAGGGCTTTGGGCGTAGGGGTTTAGGGTTTAGGGTTAAGGGTTTAGGGTTTAGGCCGAAAGCTTGCGTTGAGGGTCGCCACTGTGGCTGAAATCTCACGGAGACTCAGAGAAGCGCAACTGGGCCCTAGCAATAGCAAAGCTCTGAACCCTAAACCCTCAACCCCAAACCCTTAGCCCCAAAGCTTAAACCCTAAACCCCAAACCACCAAAGTCACAACGAGGCCTTGTCTTTGCGAGTCTCGTCCGCTCCACCCCCGGGAACCCCTAAACTCTCATCCTCCCCAAAACATGCCACATGAACTTGGGTTTAAGTTTTAGGGTTTAGGGTTTAGCGTTTAGGGTTTATGAACATGGCCGGCATTAAGCATACTCCCCAAAAAGACTCCGCGCATGGGGACCAATCACTGCCCAGGCTCCCTGTCGCGCAGCGTCGCAGCTTCGAAACTGCGCAGAGCTGTTGGGCCCCTGGTGGAATTGCTTCCTCACGCATGCGCCACCTCATTTTCCACGGTTTAGGGTTGGGGGATGTTTAGGGTTTAGGGGTTTAGGGTTTAGGGGCTTTCCGTTTTCAGACATGTGACGATCGTGCATTCTTCGGAGCTTCTCAGAGGGCAGACAAAGTGCTGCCGAGGCTCCGCCAACATCGAAAGAGGCCTTACATTTCTCAAAGAGCACGATGCTGTGCTCCTCTTGGATGAAGTCGGGCACATACACACCTCCGCCTGGGCACATACAGACAAGCACGAAGCTGTACAGGTCAGCAGCCAAGCTGCCGTGAAAGCCGCTGGACGTGCCTCAACCAGCAACGCTCCTTTGCGAACCTGCCTTTGTCAAATCTCAAAACCGATCATGATGCAAAGATGGACGGTTTCAAACTTCTGTAACGACAGGGTTTTGGAGCTGGAGACACTCGGAGAAGTTCGTCAGCACGGTCTTGCAACATGCCGATGTGCTGTTATACTTCTACAAACATTTAAGGGTAATTGCGTCAGTTGCCTCTGCTGCGCCAAATCCCAGATTATCCCCAATTTATTTCAAATCGCTTGCTTCGAAAAACATTTAGCTTCCTGAGTCAACTGACATGAGACTAGCCATTCCACTGTTCAAAAACACGTCGGGAACCGTACATGCAGAAGAGCACCTTAGCATATGTCAGACAATGTCACCGTCTCTGCGAAGCTCCGACTTACCCATATCCTACAGGAGTCCGCAACTACGCATCGGCTTAGCCAAAACTCAAAAGCAGAAACCACATTTACCCAGGACCCAGCAGCGACGAGCAGCAGCGGCCACAGCAGCAGCAGCAGCAGCAGCGGCGGCGGCAGCAACAACCACAACCGCAACAACACAACGCTAGCAATGAAGGCCAACGAGAAATGCCAGATAACCCCCCAACCATTATGCCCGTGCCTTAAGGTGCTCGCATGTACAGTCGTGTGCATGGCAACAGGATCAGCCCTCTTCATGCAGCTTCCGCGAGTATCTGAGTTCCTCTGTGCGTTCTCCGACTTGCAGCAAGCAATGCTGCCCAGGATCCTCGTTTCGCCACGCAGCCCCGGAACTGCGCAGAGCTTCTTGACCCTTGACGGAAGCTGCCTCTCACGTTGGCGCCGCCGCCTTTGTGTTTAGGGTTTAGTGTTTACGGTTTGGGGTGTATATAGGGTTTAGGGTTTAAGGGTTTAGGGTTGAGGGTTTGGGGTTTATATCGGGTTTAGGGTTTACGGCTCATTCCTACGAGCCCTTCTGAAAGAGAGTGCCACCGAGGCTCCGATTTCAGCCGTGCAAGTTTCGAAGAAGGCTTTACTCTCCGCCTCTTGGGTGAAGTTGTCGGCCAGTAGGCCGCCTCCACCTGTGTGGCTGGAGAAGTTTAGGGGTTTAGGGGATTAGGGTTTAGGGGTTTAGGGTTTAGGGCTTAGGGTTTGGGGTTTAGGGTTTAGGGTTGCCTAGGGGTGTCGGGCTGAAGGGAAAAATCAAATCTATTCCTCAGCCGTCGATTCGTTTTCAAGTCGCACGATCCAACAGCAAACATCAGATCAAAATCTGATACCTCCTTTTGAATACTGCATGCGCACTACCTGCACGCAAGGAAATTGCACATGGCTTCCTAGCATGCACGCATCTGTTCAACATCAATCTCAGGTGCTGCGTTCTCAATCTGCACTGGCGCATGCAATCGTAGCGTCCCGTTGCCACACTTCCCGGAAGCAACCACTGCTAGTATCGTCGTATTTCTGGCTTGCTGGCTGCTGTGAGACTATGAGAGAGAAGCCTCTGTGAAGCTTGGTTGGGCGGCGCATAAACGAATCGAACACTTTCGCCTGGTCGATAACCAAAGCCGACTTTGAAAAAGGACCCTCTTGACAGATCCCCGGATCGAAGCACCTCAATACAGGCTTTAGGGTTGCGGGGGTGTTGAGGTATTTTGGTGGTCCTGGACCGACTTCTGCCAAGCATCCGTACATCATCCATTTTGCGTGATATGCGTCTGTATGTGTCGATGTCGCAGTGCAGTTGACAAAGTGCGCAGAGCTGTAAGGACCTTGGCGGAAATCTTCAACCACCCGGGCGCCGCCTCCTTGGTAGGGAGGGCTCAGTCTCTGTCCTGCATGGGTGCTCAGGTGGCTTTCAGGTGCACACGCAAAGTGCAAGCTGCCACTCTTTGTAGAAGCCTTTCTCCACAAAGCCTATTTGGATGGCACGGAAACCCTTAGCCTCGAAGGGTCATGAACACAACCGGTTGGGAAGACCATCTTCAAAAGGATGCTCCGACATCTGTTGCGCTTCTGCTTCTGCCCAGGCTCCCCGCATCGCTGTGCAGTTTTGGAAACGCAAGAAGCTGTTCGGCCGCTGGTGCAATCTGCCCACCTTTGCGCCGCCACCATCTAGGCGTGAGGCAGCATAGGCTCGGGCACAACAGCAATACAGAGGAAAGGCTCCAACTGCTCCGAAGCCGTGTTGCTGTAAACCCAAGTCCAAACTCTCAACCCAAACCGGCCCCTGCTTTCTTAGCCTGCGAGCACAATCGCGAATTCCTAGCCGCACATCTCTGAGAAGGTGTGCAAAACTTCAGGCTCAAAGTCACTCAGACGACAGCGGGGAAAAACCCTAAACCCTAAACCCTAAACCCTTTTTTGCATTGCTTCGGATAGCAGAGTCGGCAGACGCATCCCAAAATTCTGGCATTGAATTCAAAAGCGAACACGACGACCCGGCATTCCACACGTATTGTGCGGCAAGCCAGTCGAGGGCCGCGAAGGCACAAAGCCCGTTGGAGGTGGCGCAGAAATCTATGGACATAGTATGCGCTCACCAGACAAGGGTGGGATGTAACCGGCAGACGGGAAAAGCCGTCCCACCCCTACAACAAAATCAAACTGAGGCACATGGCAACCATCAGAGAGTTGCCGAAATTGGTGGCCACCCAGGCTGTCATGAGAAGGAACACTTCAACTAGCAAGAGATTCTCCCCAGTCACAGAAGCTACTAAGGATGCTTTGTATTCCGCTGTCGGCTATCAAAGCACCAGTCAAACTACCGTCCGAACTAAGTTTGGAAATCGGACTCGGATTTCAAACGTGCAGGATCTTCCTCAGGGGTATCGGCTGAGGCCATCCCTACACAGTTAACATACCCAAGACGTCAGAACACCTTCATCGAGGTGATATCGAGACATCAAACTCAACAACAGCATGAAGGCTGCAAGACCTTCACACTCAAATAGCAAGCTCATCATTCACCTACTCAGAAAATTGCTGGGTAGTTGGCTGCTCTCCAGGCTCCGGTTGAACGCATAGCCAAACGTCAACTCCGCTGGTTGCTGGGTAGTCGGCTGCCCTCGAGGCTCCGGTTGAACGCATAGCCAAACTTCAAACTCCGCAGGTTGCTGGGTTGTCCGCTGCCCTCTAGGCTCCGGTTGAATGCATGGCCAAACGTCAAACTCCGCAGGTTTCTGGGTAGCTGGCTGCTCTCCAGGCTCCGGTTGAACGCATAGCCAAACGTCAAACTCCGCAGATTTCTGGGTATCTGGCTGCTCTCCAGGCTCCGGTTGAACGCATAGCCCATCGTCAAACCCCGCAGGTTGCTGGGTTGTCCGCTGCCCTCTAGGCTCCGGTTGAATGCATGGCCAAACGTCAAACTCCGCAGGTTTCTGGGTAGCTGGCTGCTCTCCAGGCTCCGGTTGAACGCATAGCCAAACGTCAAACTCCGCAGATTTCTGGGTATCTGGCTGCTCTCCAGGCTCCGGTTGAACGCATAGCCCATCGTCAAACTCCGCAGGTTGCTGGGTTGTCCGCTGCCCTCTAGGCTCCGGTTGAATGCATGGCCAAACGTCAAACTCCGCGGGTTTCTGGGTAGCTGGCTGCTCTCCAGGCTCCGGTTGAACGCATATCCCAACGTCAAACTCCGCAGGTTGCTGCGTTGTCGGCTGCCCTCTAGGCTCCGGTTGAATGCATGGCCAAACGTCAAACTCCGCAGGTTTCTGGGTATCTGGCTGCTCTCCAGGCTCCGGTTGAACGCATAGCCCATCGTCAAACCCCGCAGGTTGCTGGGTTGTCCGCTGCCCTCTAGGCTCCGGTTGAATGCATGGCCAAACGTCAAACTCCGCAGGTTTCTGGGTATCTGGCTGCTCTCCAGGCTCCGGTTGAACGCATAGCCAAACGTCAAACTCCGCAGATTTCTGAGTATCTGGCTGCTCTCCAGGCTCCGGTTGAACGCATAGCCCAACGTCAAACTCCGCGGGTTGCTGCGTTGTCGGCTGCCCTCTAGGCTCCGGTTGAATGCATGGCCAAACGTCAAACTCCGCAAGTTGCTGGGTAGCTGGCTGCACAACATGGCGAACCCCGCCCCGAAGGGCATCTACAGGGTCCTGGGGCTCTACGATCTTCTCCCGCTGTGGGAGCGACTCGGGCCCTACCCTAAACCCTAAACCTTAAACCGTGGGCCTCAACCAGTATCGAACTGGAAAACATCATCCTGCAGACCCCTAAACTAAACGGCCTTTGAACCTTGTAGCCTTAAACCCTAGCCCTAACCTAAACCCTGAACCCCAAGCTGAAGGCTTAAGCCGCCCATCTTCCCGGGTGGCCGGCGCTTAAGCCCCTCGACCTCGATGACGCACAGCGACTGCCCGCTGCCCGCCCTGCCCTGCCCTCCCCTGCCGCCCTGCCTTGCTGGGTCGGAAAAACGCAAAAAAATCAAAAAAGACTAGTTTCCCCCCCCTTGGGGATTGAGCCTAACAGGAAATGGTTTGGGTGGTTGCCTGTGATATCATCACAGCGGACGGGTTGAAGGCAATTTCCGGTTTCCCCGAGTTCTATGACACATGCAAGGAAGGTCGCTTCACGTGTGATATGCTGCCACTCACGAACCTGTAAGGTGGCGCCATCCTAGCCTGGATCACTGGCCACTGCGCAGGAAGACGCCCTAAACCCCAAACCCTGCACCCCTAAACCCTAAACCCTGCACCCCTAAACCCTAAACCCTCAAACCCTAAACCCTAAACCCTAAACCCCAACTCTAACCCTAAATCCGACCTCTGCCACACAGATCGCCGAGGCTCCGATATACGACGTGCAGTTTTGGAAGTCTGCAGAGCTGGATTCTTGGCTGAAGGTCACCGCGTACATGCAGCCCCCTGGGTAGGATGTAGGGATTTAAGGTTTGGGTTTAGGGGGGTTTAGGGTTTAGGGGTTTAGGGGTTTAGGGTCTGGGTTTAGGGGGGTTTGGGGTTTGGGGCTTAGGTTTGGGGTTTAGGATGTGTGCGTGTGTGTGAATTCACTTGGCGTGCGGCGCGGTTCTCGCCCCAACTACCCCAACGATCCTCGATCAGGGTTTTAATGGGGCTCGCTCCCCGAACTCCCTCGAGGCAGGCTCCATGGAAGAGTTCTGCACGCAATGAGCACCTCTGGAAGCGTCCCTCGTCATGTGATGCTCGCTCGAAGTGGCTTAAACCTGAAGTCTGGCAGGCTGAAAAACCGTTTTTGAGAAATCGAAAAACCTGCACACAGGCAGACTGAGAAAGGCAGATTAACATTGGCCTGTGGTTCCCAACGGTTCGGGCTTTGGGGTCCATCTTTGCTGACAGCAAAGAAATCATTAGCGGCGCAATGTCACCACAGTCCTCGTTCAGCGTCTTTTGCCAAAACGCTCGGTCGGTCTGCAAAGTGTCAGCGGCATTTCACTGTCCCAAGCATACTCGTGACGTCCCCAACTTGGAAGTTTGTGGGCAGTTAGAAGTAGGGTTATAAGACCCTACTTTTAGCTACCCATGAACCTCCAAGTAGACCCTAAACCCTAAACCCTTATAGAATCCCTATAGATCCCTTTAAAGGGACCCTTAAAGAACCCCCTAAGACTACCCATGAACCTCCAAGAACATGGCGTGCCGAGTCTCCGTGCTCCCCAGCCCAAGAATCCTCGAAGAGTACTGTGCTCCTAGTTCATGGTTGGGATATGGTTTAGGATTTAAGGTTTAGAGTTCATGGTTGGGATGGGATTAAAACTTTAAAGCTGTATTCTTTATTGGGTTTAAGTACTCATAAACATGTAAAATGCTGCCCAACTATGACATAGGCTCTGCTCTTGGGCAAAGTCAGAAGCGAAGAGGCCACCGCCATGGTCTCGAGAAGGGCTTTAGGGTTTTAGGGTTTTATGGTTTAGGGTTTTGGGTTTTAGGGTTTAGGGTTTTGTCAAAATAGGGGTCCCTTTTTGGGTCCCCTAAACAATAGGTGCCGTATTATGATCATGAGCCAAAAGGGATCCTAATTTTGACAACTACCCAGTTAGCCATTCAGACCTTCTAACTGTTCAGAAACTGCTGGCCACATGCAAGGTTGCACCCCGAAGAACGTCTCAGTGCAGTGTCAGCCTAGAGTCGGACTTAGGGAACGATATGCCGGATTGACGCCCCACTTCGGACAGCACGCTCAATATCCAAGCAAATACACGAGAAAACTGTCCGCACAGACCGAACGAAGAAAGGTTGAAAGCTTCCCAAAGACTGGGTAAGGATATGTTGCAACGTCAGTGTACAACTTTACAACACCCTCGATTGCCAAGGCACGCACTTCTACCTCGCAGCTCCGGAAGGATGCAGCGCTGTTGGGTCCCTGCTTGAACTCCCGCAGGCGGGCACAGCCACCATCTGCCCAGAGACTGTACTATCCCATAATTAATGTGAGGGGGACACTCCAACTGGTTGCTAAAAGGTTTCTACTTGGAGGGGAAGGGGACTTAGTAAGTCGTTCATAAGTAGGGTTATAATTGGGGTAACTCCATTTCGGGTACTTTTAACTCTACTTATAACCTACTTACTAAGTCCCCTCCCTTCCAAGTAGTGCACTAGTGTTTGGTTTAAGGCCTGGGACCTCCCTGGATCGGGCCAGGACCAGGGCAGCGTTCGGATCCTCCGTAGTTATAGTAGAAGACAGAAAGTTGGAATATCATTATCGTAACCCCTTTAATGTAAAATATAGGGGATCCTACCATTAATCCATATTCCAACTTTCTGGAGTTCCCTTTATGTGTGACTTGAACTTGATTGGCAAAGGATCCTTCATTGTCAGGAAAACAGTAAGGATCCTACGGCATACTCCCAAACTGTCCGGTCCACTATTCAGGGTTCCATGTACTCACCAACAGCGGCAACAGTAGCAAGTTGCAGCCAAGATGCAATGAGTAGCGAAGCACGAATTAAAGTGCACTTCGCTCTTTGACTGGGTGAAGCGCTCGGCATGCAGGCCACCACCTTGGTGAAGGGATTCCGGTTTAGGATGCCTCAAGTTAGCCGCCCCTCAAAACTGAACTTCCGCCGGCAAGGGTTCGCAAGGATTCGACTTCAAAAGATGCTCCGCTGTCGAAATTTCTTCGAGTCCCCACAAACGACAAGTGAGAGAGTCAGTCCGCAAGCTTTGGTTCAGCCCGGCGAAGCCCCGGACGACCCGACCCATGCAGTTCTACGCCCGCTTCGTCGCCAAAGCTTGGGGAACTTCGATAAGAACTCAAGCTTTCGGCGCGAGGATATAAATGCGAAGACCCAGTGTAGCAATGCTCCACGTCGGAAGGAAGACTCTCCCACTGCCGGTGCCTTTCCTGATTGGCCCTCAGCCCTTTTGAATTGCAGGGGCCTTTAGCTTCGAGTCGTGGGCGGCTCGAAAGCTATCACAGAGTTCTACCTGACGAAAACAAGTATCACGGGCAGTTCATGCGGCAGGGTGACAGCTGCACCTGTAAGCACAACAGACACTCTAAACCCTAAACCCTAAACCCCTAAACCCTTAAACCCTAAACCCTAAACCCCTGAAACCTAAACCTAATCCCTAAACCCCTAAACCCCTAAACCCTTAAAACCTAAACCCCAAACCCCTGAACCCTAAACCTAATCCCTAAACCCCTAAACCCGAAACCCCGCCGAGCTTCCTTCGTGATGCGCCGCGCAGCCCCGGAAGTGTGCGGAGCTGTTGGTCCCCAGGCTGAAGTTGTGGTTCACATATGCGCAGCCGCCCTTACACTTGGAGGTTTATGGGTGGTTAGAAGTGGAGTTATAAGTCCCCTCACGTGGAGTTTTGAGTTTAGGGTTTAGGGTTATAAGCGGGGTTATAAGTCCCCGAATAGTAGATTATAACCATAGTTATCTTACTTATAACCGTACATACAACTACCCATGAGCCTCCAAGTAGTTAGCCGTGGGATCAACCAGGGCTCCCGAGCAAAACCCATGGTTCAGGGTTTGGGGTTTGAAGCCTTCCGACAACCAAGAAGACAACCATAAACACCCTAATCCTTACGGAACCCTTCTAGAAGTCCTATAATCCTTATAGAACCCTTGTAGAAGACTTCTACTCTACAAAACCCTTTTTGAGCCCCCAGAAAAGAGGTCGGGCGGTCGCCAAGGCTCCGAGTTGGACCTGCAGTCGTCGAAGAAAACCTCGCTGTGCTCTTGAACGAAGTCGTCGGCGAGCAGGCCACCACCATGGCCTGAGGCTCCAGGGCATTTAGGGTTTCAGGGTTTAGTGTTCAGAGGGCACCGGAGCCTTTAGAGGCTTCAGGGCATTCAGAGCTCCGGGTTCAGGGTTTAGGCTTCTGCAAGGTTCAGATCAGGAGTTCGGGGTTTGGAGTTGAAGGCTTAAGGTTATCCCGTTTAGGGTGCGGTGTTTGTGGTTTGGGGTTGAGGGTTGAGCATGGGCAGGGTTGGAAAATTTTGGGGTTGCGGGGTTTGGGGATTTGCGGCCTGAGGGTGGTGTCGGAGGAAAACGCAAGATGAACGTATTATAGGGGCCTTAATAATTAGAATAGGGTTTCGGTTCCCATTATACTATACTTCATGTATAATCCCAAATAGCATTGGTAATTATTCAGGCCCCTACATTACACGTATCCTGGGCCGCCGTGGTGTTCGGGAACCAGGTCTGTAATTTCCGATGGTAGATGCAATGGGCCATAAAGAAAGTTTTGGGTTTAGGTTTTTTTTAAGGGCTCCTTTTTAGGGTTTAGGGTTTAGAGTTTAGGGTTTAGGGAAGAATTCTTGAAACATGGCCTTACACAGCGCATCTCCAAGCGCCAAGGATCCGTAGCGACGCGTCCAGCAGTTCCGAAATTGGGCGGAGCTGTTGGGACCCAGACTGAAGAGCTTCCTCACGAATGCCCCGCCGCCATCTCGGTAAACAGCAGGTGTCTAGCATTGGGCTCGGAGGATGTCGTTTCCTAGACTCCGTGCCGGTGAGGCTCCTCCGTATTCAGTGTGGCAGTTCTCAAAGAGAAGCCTGCTCCGAGATACTTGGGTGTTCTTGCTGTCGTACCCGCCGCCCCCTGAGAACAGGCGCTTCAAGGGCGAAACCCCTCAGCAGCTGGTTGCTCGAAGAATGCTACACACGTCTGTGCCGTCCGTCGCGGGGCTGCAGCCAAACCCGAGACGAATCTTTCCGGAGCTCAAGTCTCTAACGTAGGCTACCCATACCCAGACTTCGAACGAATTCATCCTATAAGATTGCGCCTCCGGCATGCAACAGAGCGACGAGATGTACCTATCAACCTGTGAATTCTCGGGGCTAGGGCGTAGACGGCCCAGGAGTTTTGGATTTTACAGGGGTGGGGAGTTTTGGATCAAGGGCGGCCTGTCTTCGCAGTGCAGTTCTCGAACCTGACATCGCTGTTGCTTGCGATCAAGTTCTCCTGGACGAAGATCCCTCCTCCGGTTCCCACCTGTCGTGTTGCATGCAACATACGCAGTAAAAAGCGTTCTGACATGTTCATCTCGAAACACACGAAGCAAACGCCCGACAACTTGAATTCCAAGATCCAAAACCCTTAAGGCGCAAGTGCTGATCCCAACTTGGAGCCTGGTTGTAGCAGCCAACGAAGCTAGCTTGTGTGGAAATGAGCGACACGTTCCCGAGAACCGTGATGCCTCAGTGGGTCTAGGGTAATCTGCAAAGCCCAACTAGCATAACTAGTACATGTCGATGTCATAGCTCGACGCAAAGCTTTCGCGCATGACACGATGCATCAGCAATGCTTGACATGACCCGAGATGCATGCGCCATCCAATTTCTGTGCTCCCAGGATTTGTATGTCACCCGTGAGGACCAAGCTGCCTGCTTGCACAGTGTGTGAAAGGTTTAACTAGGGTTTGGGTTTACCTTAACCCCAAGTAACCTACCTTCTCAAGGACTTGTATAAGGAAATCCTGAAAAAGGGAGGTTTTTTCAGGGTCCAGGTAGGGCTTAGGGCGACTATTGCAAACTCGAAGCCGCTAGGTACCCCCTTACCCCAAACCTCCACACATCTCCGAAACCCTAAACTCCCAAACCCGCATTAACAAAAACTCTCTCCGCCGTTTATGGTTTAGGTCCAGGCTTTGGCTCAAATCATGAAGCGCAGATCGTAAATCCTAGAAGCCCAAAGCCGACTCATATATAAATGCTTAACCCTCGGGGATCATTCATTCACGCACACATCCATCCATCCAGCCAAATAGCTACACGACCAAATCCGGATCTGGCACCCGGGCCCTAACTTGGTTCAACACTACTAGAGAATTGTACAAGAAATCCTTGCTTACTCCACCCCTTTCTGAACAGTGGCCGCAACACGAAGATACCCTCAACCCTAAACCCCTAAACCCCCAAACCCCTAAACCCCTAAACCCCTAAACCCTAAACCCTAAACCCCTCAACCCTAAACCCTTTCAACCCCTCCACCCCTCAACCCGAAAGCCCTGAACGCTCAACGGCTTCACCCCGAACTTGCCGACTCTCATCTCCCTCACCACTTCGTGCAACACAACAAGCTTTTTTCGGGGAAGCTCATGGGCTTTGGGGTTTTATATTTCTGATTTACGGGGGTTGTATTGGGGTTTGGGGATCTCTGGGCTTGAGGCCTATCAGGGTTTAGGGGTTTAGGGTTTAGGGTTTTAGGGTTTAGGGTTTAGGGTTTAGGGTTTAACTCGCAAGAAGTCGTCGACGAGCCTTCAGCCCAACAACTCACTCAAACCCTAAACCCTAAACCCGAAAGAAGCCATTGCCGCCAGCCTTCGAAAATCAGCGGCTTCTTCAGAGTGGCCTGCTCCACAAGCTGCTATGGGGTAGGTTTTAGGGTGGTTTTGGGGGGATTTAAAGCTCCTCTATACTATTCCCGAGCGTTCCTTTTTGTATGCTCATGCCAGAAGAAGGTCTTCGGTCCTGGGCAAAACGGAAGTTAGCAGTGCGAAGCGATGTAAGTTGGAACCGCGGCTTGAGGCTTAATGCTCGATGATGCTTGGCTTGCGGCCCTAAACCCTGAGCCCCAAACACCTAAGCCATAAAGGAATCCTTAAAGGGAAAAGGGAACCCCACGGTACAGAACCATATAGTACCCTTAAAGGGAGCCCTCAAAGGAACCCTTAAGGGTGTCGGATGAGCAGTTTCGAGTCCGGGCCGTCAACCCTTCGCCACGCCAGCTGCAGCTGCTGCTGAAGTTGGGCAGCGCATCAAGGACCTGAGGTTTTTGGGGGTTTAGGGGTTCAGGGTTGAGAGTTTAGGGGTTTAAGGGTTCAGGGTTTCGGGTTTAGGGGTTTAAGGGTTCAGGGTTTCGGGTTTAGGGGTTTAAGGGTTTAGGGTTTAGGGGTCTAGCGGTTCAGGGCTTAGGGTTTAGGGGTTTAGGGGTTTAAGGGTTTAGGGTTTAGGGTTTAGGGTGTCCTTCACCTGCCATGTCAACCTAGGATCATCCCATGCAGCCCAGTAACATGGCTGCCAGATTGTGGAAGTCCCGCGCAGGGAGGGTAGATGGCCTCAGCTCAAAGGCAGATTGTAGAAGCGTTGCACTTTGTCCTCGACTCTCTTTACCTTCGCAGGGTTCTGGTGCACGTACCACACAAAGGCGGGCATAGGCACGGGAATGAAGTTTCCAAGGAGAGCATCAACTCTGTCTGAACCCTTCATACCAAAAGAAGCCTGTTGAAACCGTCTTCAAACGGCACTCTCGGGGGTTCAGCCTGCTGGGCCAGGTTTGGCGCCGAATTCTGAGCAAAGGTCGTCGCTTGGAGAGAGGTGACATCCAGAAAGCATGCCCAGTGTAAAAAGTGCTATAGTCTACAATATTGTGTTATACCTGAGAAGCTGCCCCCACCCTGTAATAGTGACTATAAGGATTATAGTAGGGCCCTATTATATACCTATTATATCACTAATACAGGGTGGGGCCCCTTCTAAGTTATACCATATTAATGGTGTGGGCTCTATATTATCCACAAAGACCTGAACCCGAAACCTGTTTAAGGCTGACGGTTTGGGGTCCAGGGGTTTAGGGTTGAGAGGTTCGGGGTTAGAAGTTTAGGGTTTAGGGTTTAGGGTTCAGGGGTTGAGGAGTTTAGGAGTTCAGGGTTTTAGGGTTTGGGGGGTTAGGGTTTAGGGTTTACAAAAAAACAATGCCAAGCAAGCCGCTGACGCTCCCCAACCGACTGCATTAACCTGGACAGAAGTTGAGACGTGTGTATGCACATTTAACTCTGCGAGCGGAGCACTTCTTAGAAGGACCGCAACGGGCTATGAAACCAAGAACTGACAGCTTGAATCAGAGAATCCTAGAGCCAGACAGTGCCCGGCACAACTGGCGCTTCAATGGTGGCGGCTTCGTGCAACAGGGCCGAGAACCCAAGTGTACGCTCCCGAACCCGAGCTTTTGAGTCGACTAATTCAGTAGCTACGACGCACACAGCACCCCGGAATAAACTAAACCCCCGACTGCCGTCCGGTTTACTGACGGCCTCTGCCTGAGTGTGAAAAAGACGAGCAAGCGAAGCTTAGATCAAGTAGAGCCCCGAAGCCTCGCCAATCTCTGTGTCATCGGGAGGCACCACCTGTGAACGGATTTGGGAATGCAAAGCTGGGCCGCTTGGGTCGGGCTGCAAGCACATTCAATGATCCCGGAAGATGCTATCCCAAACGATTCGGGCAAAGGCGCCTCTGTCGTCAGCTGAAGGAAAGGCTGGAGTGGGCGTACGGCATGCCCGCCACCTTGAAAGCAAGTAGTTAGCCAGGCTGCATGTGGTGTATGAGGAAATTATCCGCTGGCACATGTTACGGTAGTTTCTTGATGGGCCCTGTGGTATGTTTAGCCCAACAATAAACCTGAGCTGACCAAGTCTCTCAGGAAGAGGGCGGTGAAGAGAGCCTTCGCCATTGAGCCATCGGAACATGGAGAGCTCGTGCGTCGGTCAGGCAACGGAACTCCGGCTTGGAAAAGCACCAAGCCCTCGTAGCTGCGGCATTTGTATGTGCATACACGGACATGAGATATATAGTTTCAAATCACATGTCACAACCGATGGAATTCAGCGCACATACAACCGACCTTGCTAATGCAATGTACAAAACATGTGTGGGGTATCAACCCGGCCGAGTTCACCGACAGTTTTCAAACCTATAAACCTGATTGAACCGTGCGAGGCGCCGTTAAAAGCGACCCATGTGTGTGTGTGTGTGTGTGTGTGTGCCATGTCATACGGGTCGTTGTCAAAATTATGGTCCTTGTTCAGGTCCTTGATTTCTTCGGCACCTAGTATTTAGGGTACCCAAAAAACGACCATAATTTTGACAACTACCCGTATGCGTCATGAACGCAAATCTCGCCTGGGTTTCTCTGTTTGTCACTAGTTTTGTTTCAACGCTGGTTCTGTTCGCATCTTGCTCCCGAAAAGCGAAGACGTACGGCTCTTCCGTGATGGTCTGAAGCCTAGGCTTCCGTTCTTGCCTCGTTGGATTCAAGCGTTAAGGGCAAGGTCGATCCCTTTGCTCACAAACCTTTTCTTTTTCGACCCTTGGCGAAAAGTCCCGACAAGATCAGGGCTTCTGTGCTTGGCCGGAAGAGCGACTGGCGAAGTGCCGGGGCCCGAACGACTCGGAAAGGCGCCGGCAGAAAACCGCTACTACAAGGATCCGGCACGGAACGACGTCATAGAAAATCCAAAAAAAAATCAATTACTAAAGTGCAAGTGAACCCTTCTTGCTAGTGTGCTTTGCTCGATCCTCTTTCCATGGACCCTCAATTCGACTTCGTTTCAAGACAGGCAATTTCATGCCTCACATCCGTTTCGGATTCGAAACATGCGTCTGTCGGCCCCCTTCGTTTTGCCTTCCGGCTGCTCTTCTAAATTCCGGTGTGTGAAACTGTGCTGTTCGCCATCCGGTCCAACCAGGCTTCAAAATTAAGCTTGCCACTTGCTTTCAGAATGTGTTGAAGAACTACAAGTACGCTACATGTCGAGAAAGGCTTCACCGGAAGTCCAGCAGCGGGCAGCAAGGTGATCAGCTGAGCGAGCACGACACCCTGATCCCAACCAGCGGAGGAAGAAGGACGCGAAGAAACGGACCATACCAGACCTCGGCCTAGCAGCGAAGGGAATGGGGGTCCAAAGTCCAATTCCGAGCGTGCCGGTCTTCGCTATCCAGAGTTTCCGCCGTTGCGTTCCGGCAACAAACACATAACATCAAAGTTCGCTACCACCGGGAGCTGGTACGGAACAAAGGAGTAGGTGCGAAGTAAATCCATCTGTACCAACATCAGCTTCCAACTGTTCCAATAAACATTGCTTGAACAACCACTACGCCAATGCCAACTGTACCAACACTTCGTGTACCAACAAGCTCCGTCCCTGGTGAGAAGAAACACCTCAAAGCGCGAATGGCTCAAGGTAAATGGCATCTACGAATCAAGACCTCCGTTTCCGTGTCCGTACAGAGCTCCCGCAAAAAAAAGGTCCAATCTCCTTGTCCAAAGCAAGGTTTGGCATTCAGACGTACAGCAGCCGGTGTTCTCAGATCAAATGCCTTCAAGTGAAACTTCAGCAGCAGGTAACGCAAAGCCGGGTATACGTCGCCGCAGCTGCAGAATAGCCGTTCGAAAGCATGCCACAACCCCCGAACGGATACATGGAAGCAGTCGGGCACAAGCCGCATCCACTGGCTAGTACTTCTGCTGATGCAAAGGTTTCCGACTGCGTGGGCGGGGTTCGATGACAGCGGCTGCTGCGCTCAGTCCCTATCGAATACATCGAACCATCGGCCAAACAACAAAAACAAGACAGCGGTGAAACGGAAGAGGCACCTAAGTGACAAAAGCTGCGGCTTGTGTACCAAAGCCCGCATATGACAGACACAGGTTCCCCCGGGTAGCCTGAACGATAAGTCGAAATTTAACAGCTACATCTGGCATGTTGGAGTCCAGAAAAAGCCTTTTTTTGTGTCAAGATAATGAACTTCGAAGTGACATGGCAACTGGATCTGAGATATGTCAGTTCGTTTGGATCACGATCGGATATTTGCTTTCTGAAATCACCTATCATGTAAATATCGTGATAATACTTTTTGTGCCAAAACGAACGTGGAATCACGTGTTTTCAAGGTAGGCGATATTCGCAACGCTATTGCACCTGCAAAACAAACCAAAACAAGACATGCGACCCGTGATCGAGACATGCACTGCAACGCGTGCATCCACAAAGGAGGGAAGACCTCACATTGCAAGGACCCAGGACGATGGAAGTGGGGTGATGCTGGCAAAAAAATCATCATTTCCGTCCAAAAGCGAAAGCCAAAAAGGAAGTCCGGCCTCAACTTATTTTGGCTCGGCCCTCCATGCTCAGAATCACTGCCCTCCTCGAGAAACGTTCATACCACGCTGTTGTTCTCCTTGAAGCACAAAAGACATGGAAACTACTTGGCGTAGCGCGCGATAACGGCTAAAAAAATTCAAAGATTTCCTTTCAGAAGCTCGACTGCAGACTTTGAGACGCTGTCCCGGTCCTTGCTCTGCCCAAACCAGTGAATAGCACCAGTCGCTCCAATCCAGGTTGGACTTTAACGGACTTGGTGAAAGATTCGACAAGTAAAGTTTGTCTGTTCAACATAAACATGTTCCACCTGGACTGCACTTCTTTGAACTGGCTTTACTTCCTCGTACAAGCATAGTGCAAGTGAAAATAAATGGATGGATGGATGGAGGGATGGATAAATAATTTACGATCGATCATAATCACGAAAATGATGGAGACAGCTGGAGTTTGGCATTCTGGCTTTCAGCTGGAGGCAAACTTTGGTCAAGTGAAAAAGCAAACGCAGTACTTGACAACACCAAACAAACAGAAAAGAATACCGATTGAAACTGAGTGCTTGTTGGCCGTTCAGAGAGTCGACAAGCTTCAGCTGCGATTTCATTCCGTAGGACAACAAACTGCCACACAGCCGTTCCTGTCGGTTGAATCTTGAGTTCAGATGATGAATCCAAGTTTGACTTGCCTCTGTGTTGGAACTCAACGTTTGAGCTCTAAATTGAAGAACTCCACATTCAAACTTATTCACGAAGTGGAAACTTTCTGAACTTTGGCCTCTCTTTTTTTTTCGAGTGAGGGTAGCAGCCACTGCGCGCAGTCCCAGTAAGAATCCACAAGTTTGAAAATAAAACCACAGGAAACAAATTGCTGCAACACACAGACTTGGCGGACAAAGTCGCATTTTTGCAGCAGCCAAACGAGAGACTTGAAAGACTCAGATACGTTGACAGAAATCTCACTGTATTTCGGAGACAGCTTTGAATCCTGCAACATCCAAGCAAATCGAATCGTTCTGGAAACCAAAAAAAGACTCACCTCTGAGCTGTTTGCCAGCAAAGCAAGCTTAGCTGCGCAAATCTGCAAACAAACAAAGCCAGTGTGAAACAGGCCAGATTTCCCAGCGTTTTCCACATGTTTGTTGAGGCTTGCTATGAGCGACTACAGCTTGAACATCTTGATTTGCAGATTCTGAGGCGACGACAACACCGTTTTCTGCTGTGGGTGAACTGTGAAAATTTCCAAACCTAAGAAGATCTCCCGGCACTCTAGAGGTCCCTTCACAACAGCCACCACAATCCTGACAATTTCCAGACCCAGAAGTGGGCTTGTTGGAAGCACTACAAAATCTCAACCTCGCCGCCTGCTTCAGAAACTTCGATTATGTCTTGGCTTGCTTCGAATGCAGTCATGACAACCATGCAAAGCATTGCTAAGATCCGCAGGAAATCTGTGGGAAACCCCAGGGAAACCATCAGGAACCAGACTGAAACCTTCAGAAACCCTTAAGAGGGAACAGATTCACTTTTGAGGAGCATGTCTATCATTCAGAATTCATGGAAAACGTTGTAGCTCTTTTAAAAAAGAGAAGTTCTGACTTTCACAACACCTGTTCGCAGCCGTTCTAAAAAGTTCTTGTGAATTCCCGCAGATTCAGAAAACGGCCCCATTTTTGGTGCTGCATTTGTTCGCGGAGAACCACTTTCGAGCTCGCAAAAATCTGGACGCAGATCAAGTAGTTGGTCAGCAAAATGCAGCGAAATAACTCAAAATGTAGCATCTAGTCACTACTTGAACACATCTTCAATTCAAATAATCAAGTTTCGGCATGTGTTCTTGCCAAGTGCAAGATTCGCTGCAAGATGCTGCAGCAACTGAAGATCTAAACAAACTTCTGGAGTTGTGCAAAGACATGGTATCGAGAGGTGTGCCTGACAGTTCGGAATTTGTGCACGGTGCGCTTCATGCATATGGATTGACGTGGCTCTCGCTAGATTTTGTTGGCTCTTTTGGCAGAGACCCACTTGCAACATTCCTTGCCTCTACGCTGTTGCTTCAGAGTCGAGCAGTTGCGTTCTCTGAAAAGTCTGCGCTTTTGTCACTAACCTTGGCCTTTGGAGATTTTGCACTTCAGCACAGAGCGACATTGCTAGTAACAGGCGCTCCAAGGGACTTTGTTGCTCAATTCCGCATCTCTGCACAACACAGACCCGTGCCGCCTCTCAACAACACAGACCCGTGGTGTTTCTGAATTCTAACATGCGGACGAGCAGGATGCACTTCTTCGGTCTTCCAAACTTTTGAGTTAGGACCGCACTCGTTCTGTCTCGTTTCGTTTTGCTTCGAATGTTTTTGGCCGCCTAAGAACAACTTTGACCTGTTTGGACCAGATCTTGTTTCTTCTATAAGTCCGCCTGCACGGCTCCAAATGTGGGGTCGAACAATCAGTAATTTCAGCTTCGCTTGAGTCGCTCCTTTCGATTCAAATCATCTAGTTGCGGCATGTGTTCTTGCTATGTGCAGGATTGGCTCTCAACAACACAGTCCGTGGTGTTTCTGAATTCTAAAACGCAGA